AACCTCCTCTCTCTTCTGCTCAGCCTCACTCCTTGCCTTCTCCGCTTCCTCCCTCTCTTTCTCCGCCTTGCATTTCGCTGCCTCAGCCTCCTCTCTCTTCTGCTCAGCCTCACTCCTTGCCATCTCCGCTTCCTCGCTCTCTTTCTCCGCCTCGCATTTCGCTGCCTCAGCCTGCTCTCTCTTCTGCTCAGCCTCACTCCTTGCCTTCTCCGCTTCCTCCCTCTCTTTCTCCGCCTCGAATTTCGCTGCCTCAGCCTCCTCTCTCTTCTGCTCAGCCTCACTCCTTGCCTTCTCCGCGTCCTCCCTCTCTTTCTCCGCCTTGCATTTTGCTGCCTCAGCCTCCTCTCTCTTCTGCTCAGCCTCACTCCTTGCATTCTCCGCTTCCTCCCTCTCTTTCTCCGCCGCGCATTTCGCTGCCTCAGCCTCCTCTCTCTTCTGCTCAGCCTCACTCCTTGCCTTCTCCGCTTCCTCCCTCTCTTTCTCCGCCTCGCATTTCGCTGCCTCAGCCTCCTCTCTCTTCTGCTCAGCCTCACTCCTTGCCTTCTCCGCTTCCTCCCTATCTTTCTCCGCCTCGCATTTCGCTGCCTCAGCCTCCTCTCTCTTCTGCTCAGCCTCACTCCTTGCCTTCTCTGCTTCCTCCCTCTCTTTCTCCGCCTCGCATTTCGCTGCATCAGCCTCACTCCTTGCCTTCTCCGCTTCCTCCCTCTCTTTCTCCGCCTCGCATTTCGCTGCCACAGCCTCCTCTCTCTTCTGCTCAGCCTCACTCCTTGCCTTCTCCGCTTCCTCCCTCTCTTTCTCCGCCTCGCATTTCGCTGCCTCAGCCTCCTCTCTCTTCTGCTCAGCCTCACTCCTTGCCTTCTCCGCTTCCTCCCTATCTTTCTCCGCCTCGCATTTCGCTGCCTCAGCCTCCTCTCTTCTCTGCTCAGCCTCACTCCTTGCCTTCTCCGCTTCCTCCCTCTCTTTCTCCGCCTCGCATTTCGCTGCCTCAGCCTCCTCTCTCTTCTGCTCAGCCTCACTCCTTGCCTTCTCCGCTTCCTCACTCTCTTTCTCCGCCTCGCATTTCGCTGCCTCAGCCTCCTCTCTCTTCTGCTCAGCCTCACTCCTTGCCTTCTCCGCTTCCTCCCTTTCTTTCTCTGCCTCGCATTTCGCTGCCTCAGCCTCCTCTCTCTTCTGCTCAGCCTCACTCCTTGCCTTCTCCGCTTCCTCCCTCTCTTTCTCCGCCTTGCATTTCGCTGCCTCAGCCTCCTCTCTCTTCTGCTCAGCCTCACTCCTTGCCATCTCCGCTTCCTCCCTCTCTTTCTCCGCCTCGCATTTCGCTGCCTCAGCCTCCTCTCTCTTTTGCTCAGCCTCACTCCTTGCCTTCTCCGCTTCCTCCCTCTCTTTCTCCGCCTCGCATTGCGCTGCCTCAGCCTCCTCTCTCTTCTGCTCAGCCTCACTCCTTGCCTTCTCCGCTTCCTCCCTCTCTTTCTCCGCCTCGCATTTCACTGCCTCAGCCTCCTCTCTCTTCTGCTCAGCCTCACTCCTTGCCTTCTCCGCTTCCTCCCTCTCTTTCTCCGCCTCGCATTTCGCTGCCTCAGCCTCCTCTCTCTTCTGCTCAGCCTCACTCCTTGCCATCTCCGCTTCCTCGCTCTCTTTCTCCGCCTCGCATTTCGCTGCCTCAGCCTGCTCTCTCTTCTGCTCAGCCTCACTCCTTGCCATCTCCGCTTCCTCCCTCTCTTTCTCCGCCTCGCATTTCGCTGCCTCAGCCTCCTCTCTCTTTTGCTCAGCCTCACTCCTTGCCTTCTCCGCTTCCTCCCTCTCTTTCTCCGCCTCGCATTGCGCTGCCTCAGCCTCCTCTCTCTTCTGCTCAGCCTCACTCCTTGCCTTCTCCGCTTCCTCCCTCTCTTTCTCCGCCTCGCATTTCACTGCCTCAGCCTCCTCTCTCTTCTGCTCAGCCTCACTCCTTGCCTTCTCCGCTTCCTCCCTCTCTTTCTCCGCCTCGCATTTCGCTGCCTCAGCCTCCTCTCTCTTCTGCTCAGCCTCACTCCTTGCCATCTCCGCTTCCTCGCTCTCTTTCTCCGCCTCGCATTTCGCTGCCTCAGCCTGCTCTCTCTTCTGCTCAGCCTCACTCCTTGCCATCTCCGCTTCCTCCCTCTCTTTCTCCGCCTCGCATTTCGCTGCCTCAGCCTCCTCTCTCTTTTGCTCAGCCTCACTCCTTGCCTTCTCCGCTTCCTCCCTCTCTTTCTCCGCCTCGCATTTCGCTGCCTCAGCCTCCTCTCTCTTCTGCTCAGCCTCACTCCTTGCCTTCTCCGCTTCCTCCCTCTCTTTCTCCGCCTCGCATTTCGCTGCCTCAACCTCCTCTCTCTTCTGCTCAGCCTCACTCTTTGCCTTCTCCGCTTCCTCCCTCTCTTTCTCCGCCTCGCATTTCGCTGCCTCAACCTCCTCTCTCTTCTGCTCAGCCTCACTCCTTGCCTTCTCCGCTTCCTCCCTCTCTTTCTCCGCCTTGCATTTCGCTGCCTCAGCCTCCTCTCTCTTCTGCTCAGCCTCACTCCTTGCCATCTCCGCTTCCTCGCTCTCTTTCTCCGCCTCGCATTTCGCTGCCTCAGCCTGCTCTCTCTTCTGCTCAGCCTCACTCCTTGCCTTCTCCGCTTCCTCCCTCTCTTTCTCCGCCTCGAATTTCGCTGCCTCAGCCTCCTCTCTCTTCTGCTCAGCCTCACTCCTTGCCTTCTCCGCGTCCTCCCTCTCTTTCTCCGCCTTGCATTTTGCTGCCTCAGCCTCCTCTCTCTTCTGCTCAGCCTCACTCCTTGCATTCTCCGCTTCCTCCCTCTCTTTCTCCGCCGCGCATTTCGCTGCCTCAGCCTCCTCTCTCTTCTGCTCAGCCTCACTCCTTGCCTTCTCCGCTTCCTCCCTCTCTTTCTCCGCCTCGCATTTCGCTGCCTCAGCCTCCTCTCTCTTCTGCTCAGCCTCACTCCTTGCCTTCTCCGCTTCCTCCCTATCTTTCTCCGCCTCGCATTTCGCTGCCTCAGCCTCCTCTCTCTTCTGCTCAGCCTCACTCCTTGCCTTCTCTGCTTCCTCCCTCTCTTTCTCCGCCTCGCATTTCGCTGCATCAGCCTCACTCCTTGCCTTCTCCGCTTCCTCCCTCTCTTTCTCCGCCTCGCATTTCGCTGCCACAGCCTCCTCTCTCTTCTGCTCAGCCTCACTCCTTGCCTTCTCCGCTTCCTCCCTCTCTTTCTCCGCCTCGCATTTCGCTGCCTCAGCCTCCTCTCTCTTCTGCTCAGCCTCACTCCTTGCCTTCTCCGCTTCCTCCCTATCTTTCTCCGCCTCGCATTTCGCTGCCTCAGCCTCCTCTCTTCTCTGCTCAGCCTCACTCCTTGCCTTCTCCGCTTCCTCCCTCTCTTTCTCCGCCTCGCATTTCGCTGCCTCAGCCTCCTCTCTCTTCTGCTCAGCCTCACTCCTTGCCTTCTCCGCTTCCTCACTCTCTTTCTCCGCCTCGCATTTCGCTGCCTCAGCCTCCTCTCTCTTCTGCTCAGCCTCACTCCTTGCCTTCTCCGCTTCCTCCCTTTCTTTCTCTGCCTCGCATTTCGCTGCCTCAGCCTCCTCTCTCTTCTGCTCAGCCTCACTCCTTGCCTTCTCCGCTTCCTCCCTCTCTTTCTCCGCCTTGCATTTCGCTGCCTCAGCCTCCTCTCTCTTCTGCTCAGCCTCACTCCTTGCCATCTCCGCTTCCTCCCTCTCTTTCTCCGCCTCGCATTTCGCTGCCTCAGCCTCCTCTCTCTTTTGCTCAGCCTCACTCCTTGCCTTCTCCGCTTCCTCCCTCTCTTTCTCCGCCTCGCATTGCGCTGCCTCAGCCTCCTCTCTGTTCTGCTCAGCCTCACTCCTTGCCTTCTCCGCTTCCTCCCTCTCTTTCTCCGCCTCGCATTTCACTGCCTCAGCCTCCTCTCTCTTCTGCTCAGCCTCACTCCTTGCCTTCTCCGCTTCCTCCCTCTCTTTCTCCGCCTCGCATTTCGCTGCCTCAGCCTCCTCTCTCTTCTGCTCAGCCTCACTCCTTGCCATCTCCGCTTCCTCGCTCTCTTTCTCCGCCTCGCATTTCGCTGCCTCAGCCTGCTCTCTCTTCTGCTCAGCCTCACTCCTTGCCTTCTCCGCTTCCTCCCTCTCTTTCTCCGCCTCGAATTTCGCTGCCTCAGCCTCCTCTCTCTTCTGCTCAGCCTCACTCCTTGCCTTCTCCGCGTCCTCCCTCTCTTTCTCCGCCTTGCATTTTGCTGCCTCAGCCTCCTCTCTCTTCTGCTCAGCCTCACTCCTTGCATTCTCCGCTTCCTCCCTCTCTTTCTCCGCCGCGCATTTCGCTGCCTCAGCCTCCTCTCTCTTCTGCTCAGCCTCACTCCTTGCCTTCTCCGCTTCCTCCCTCTCTTTCTCCGCCTCGCATTTCGCTGCCTCAGCCTCCTCTCTCTTCTGCTCAGCCTCACTCCTTGCCTTCTCCGCTTCCTCCCTATCTTTCTCCGCCTCGCATTTCGCTGCCTCAGCCTCCTCTCTCTTCTGCTCAGCCTCACTCCTTGCCTTCTCTGCTTCCTCCCTCTCTTTCTCCGCCTCGCATTTCGCTGCATCAGCCTCACTCCTTGCCTTCTCCGCTTCCTCCCTCTCTTTCTCCGCCTCGCATTTCGCTGCCACAGCCTCCTCTCTCTTCTGCTCAGCCTCACTCCTTGCCTTCTCCGCTTCCTCCCTCTCTTTCTCCGCCTCGCATTTCGCTGCCTCAGCCTCCTCTCTCTTCTGCTCAGCCTCACTCCTTGCCTTCTCCGCTTCCTCCCTATCTTTCTCCGCCTCGCATTTCGCTGCCTCAGCCTCCTCTCTTCTCTGCTCAGCCTCACTCCTTGCCTTCTCCGCTTCCTCCCTCTCTTTCTCCGCCTCGCATTTCGCTGCCTCAGCCTCCTCTCTCTTCTGCTCAGCCTCACTCCTTGCCTTCTCCGCTTCCTCACTCTCTTTCTCCGCCTCGCATTTCGCTGCCTCAGCCTCCTCTCTCTTCTGCTCAGCCTCACTCCTTGCCTTCTCCGCTTCCTCCCTTTCTTTCTCTGCCTCGCATTTCGCTGCCTCAGCCTCCTCTCTCTTCTGCTCAGCCTCACTCCTTGCCTTCTCCGCTTCCTCCCTCTCTTTCTCCGCCTCGCATTTCGCTGCCTCAGCCTCCTCTCTCTTCTGCTCAGCCTCACTCCTTGCCTTCTCCGCTTCCTCCCTCTCTTTCTCCGCCTCGCATTTCGCTGCCTCAACCTCCTCTCTCTTCTGCTCAGCCTCACTCTTTGCCTTCTCCGCTTCCTCCCTCTCTTTCTCCGCCTCGCATTTCGCTGCCTCAACCTCCTCTCTCTTCTGCTCAGCCTCACTCCTTGCCTTCTCCGCTTCCTCCCTCTCTTTCTCCGCCTTGCATTTCGCTGCCTCAGCCTCCTCTCTCTTCTGCTCAGCCTCACTCCTTGCCATCTCCGCTTCCTCCCTCTCTTTCTCCGCCTCACATTTCGCTGCCTCAGCCTCCTCTCTCTTCTGCTCAGCCTCACTCCTTGCCTTCTTCGCGTCCTCCCTCTCTTTCTCCGCCTTGCATTTCGCTGCCTCAGCCTCCTCTCTCTTCTGCTCAGCCTCACTCCTTGCCATCTCCGCTTCCTCCCTCTCTTTCTCCGCCTCACATTTCGCTGCCTCAGCCTCCTCTCTCTTCTGCTCAGCCTCACTCCTTGCCTTCTTCGCGTCCTCCCTCTCTTTCTCCGCCTTGCATTTTGCTGCCTCAGCCTCCTCTCTCTTCTGCTCAGCCTCACTCCTTGCCATCTCCGCTTCCTCCCTCTCTTTCTCCGCCTCGCATTTCGCTGCCTCAACCTCCTCTCTCTTCTGCTCAGCCTCACTCTTTGCCTTCTCCGCTTCCTCCCTCTCTTTCTCCGCCTCGCATTTCGCTGCCTCAACCTCCTCTCTCTTCTGCTCAGCCTCACTCCTTGCCTTCTCCGCTTCCTCCCTCTCTTTCTCCGCCTTGCATTTCGCTGCCTCAGCCTCCTCTCTCTTCTGCTCAGCCTCACTCCTTGCCTTCTCCGCTTCCTCACTCTCTTTCTCCGCCTCGCATTTCGCTGCCTCAGCCTCCTCTCTCTTCTGCTCAGCCTCACTCCTTGCCTTCTCCGCTTCCTCCCTCTCTTTCTCCGCCTCGCATTTCGCTGCCTCAGCCTCCTCTCTCTTCTGCTCAGCCTCACTCCTTGCCTTCTCCGCTTCCTCCCTCTCTTTCTCCGCCTCGCATTTCGCTGCCTCAGCCTCCTCTCTCTTCTGCTCAGCCTCACTCCTTGCCTTCTCCACTTCGTCCCTATCTTTCTCCGCCTCGCATTTCGCTGCCTCAGCCTCCTCTCTTCTCTGCTCAGCCTCACTCCTTGCCTTCTCCCCTTCCTCACTCTCTTTCTCCGCCTCGCATTTCGCTGCCTCAGCCTCCTCTCTCTTCTGCTCAGCCTCACTCCTTGCCTTCTCCGCTTCCTCCCTTTCTTTCTCTGCCTCGCATTTCGCTGCCTCAGCCTCCTCTCTCTTCTGCTCAGCCTCACTCCTTGCCTTCTCCGCTTCCTCCCTCTCTTTCTCCGCCTCGCATTTCGCTGCCTCAGCCTCCTCTCTCTTCTGCTCAGCCTCACTCCTTGCCTTCTCCGCTTCCTCCCTCTCTTTCTCCGCCTCGCATTTCGCTGCCTCAACCTCCTCTCTCTTCTGCTCAGCCTCACTCTTTGCCTTCTCCGCTTCCTCCCTCTCTTTCTCCGCCTCGCATTTCGCTGCCTCAACCTCCTCTCTCTTCTGCTCAGCCTCACTCCTTGCCTTCTCCGCTTCCTCCCTCTCTTTCTCCGCCTTGCATTTCGCTGCCTCAGCCTCCTCTCTCTTCTGCTCAGCCTCACTCCTTGCCATCTCCGCTTCCTCCCTCTCTTTCTCCGCCTCGCATTTCGCTGCCTCAGCCTCCTCTCTCTTTTGCTCAGCCTCACTCCTTGCCTTCTCCGCTTCCTCCCTCTCTTTCTCCGCCTCGCATTGCGCTGCCTCAGCCTCCTCTCTCTTCTGCTCAGCCTCACTCCTTGCCTTCTCCGCTTCCTCCCTCTCTTTCTCCGCCTCGCATTTCACTGCCTCAGCCTCCTCTCTCTTCTGCTCAGCCTCACTCCTTGCCTTCTCCGCTTCCTCCCTCTCTTTCTCCGCCTCGCATTTCGCTGCCTCAGCCTCCTCTCTCTTCTGCTCAGCCTCACTCCTTGCCATCTCCGCTTCCTCGCTCTCTTTCTCCGCCTCGCATTTCGCTGCCTCAGCCTCCTCTCTCTTCTGCTCAGCCTCACTCCTTGCCTTCTCCGCTTCCTCCCTCTCTTTCTCCGCCTCGAATTTCGCTGCCTCAGCCTCCTCTCTCTTCTGCTCAGCCTCACTCCTTGCCTTCTCCGCGTCCTCCCTCTCTTTCTCCGCCTTGCATTTTGCTGCCTCAGCCTCCTCTCTCTTCTGCTCAGCCTCACTCCTTGCATTCTCCGCTTCCTCCCTCTCTTTCTCCGCCGCGCATTTCGCTGCCTCAGCCTCCTCTCTCTTCTGCTCAGCCTCACTCCTTGCCTTCTCCGCTTCCTCCCTCTCTTTCTCCGCCTCGCATTTCGCTGCCTCAGCCTCCTCTCTCTTCTGCTCAGCCTCACTCCTTGCCTTCTCCGCTTCCTCCCTATCTTTCTCCGCCTCGCATTTCGCTGCCTCAGCCTCCTCTCTCTTCTGCTCAGCCTCACTCCTTGCCTTCTCTGCTTCCTCCCTCTCTTTCTCCGCCTCGCATTTCGCTGCATCAGCCTCACTCCTTGCCTTCTCCGCTTCCTCCCTCTCTTTCTCCGCCTCGCATTTCGCTGCCACAGCCTCCTCTCTCTTCTGCTCAGCCTCACTCCTTGCCTTCTCCGCTTCCTCCCTCTCTTTCTCCGCCTCGCATTTCGCTGCCTCAGCCTCCTCTCTCTTCTGCTCAGCCTCACTCCTTGCCTTCTCCGCTTCCTCCCTCTCTTTCTCCGCCTCGCATTTCGCTGCCTCAGCCTCCTCTCTTCTCTGCTCAGCCTCACTCCTTGCCTTCTCCGCTTCCTCCCTCTCTTTCTCCGCCTCGCATTTCGCTGCCTCAGCCTCCTGTCTCTTCTGCTCAGCCTCACTCCTTGCCTTCTCCGCTTCCTCACTCTCTTTCTCCGCCTCGCATTTCGCTGCCTCAGCCTCCTCTCTCTTCTGCTCAGCCTCACTCCTTGCCTTCTCCGCTTCCTCCCTTTCTTTCTCTGCCTCGCATTTCGCTGCCTCAGCCTCCTCTCTCTTCTGCTCAGCCTCACTCCTTGCCTTCTCCGCTTCCTCCCTCTCTTTCTCCGCCTCGCATTTCGCTGCCTCAGCCTCCTCTCTCTTCTGCTCAGCCTCACTCCTTGCCTTCTCCGCTTCCTCCCTCTCTTTCTCCGCCTCGCATTTCGCTGCCTCAACCTCCTCTCTCTTCTGCTCAGCCTCACTCTTTGCCTTCTCCGCTTCCTCCCTCTCTTTCTCCGCCTTGCATTTCGCTGCCTCAGCCTCCTCTCTCTTCTGCTCAGCCTCACTCCTTGCCTTCTCCGCTTCCTCCCTCTTCTGCTCAGCCTCACTCCTTGCCTTCTCCGCTTCCTCCCTCTCTTTCTCCGCCTCGCACTTAGCTGCATCAGCCTCACTCCTTGCCTTCTCCGCTTCCTCCCTCTCTTTCTCCGCCTCGCATTTCGCTGCCTCAGCCTCCTCTCTCCTCTGCTCAGCCTCACTCCTTGCCTTCTCCGCTTCCTCCCTTTCTTTCTCCGCCTCGCATTTCGCTGCCTCAGCCTCCTCTCTCTTCTGCTCAGCCTCACTCCTTGCCTTCTCCACTGCCTCCCTCTCTTTCTCCGCCTCGCATTTCGCTGCCTCAGCCTCCTCTCTCTTCTGCTCAGCCTCACTCCTTGCCTTCTCCACTTCCTCCCTCTCTTTCTCCGCCTCGCATTTCGCTGCCACAGCCTCCTCTCTCTTCTGCTCAGCCTCACTCCTTGCCTTCTCCGCTTCCTCCCTCTTCTGCTCAGCCTCACTCCTTGCCTTCTCCGCTTCCTCCCTCTCTTTCTCCGCCTCGCATTTCGCTGCCTCAGCCTCCTCTCTCTTCTGCTCAGCCTCACTCCACGCCCTCTCTGCTTTGTCCCTTCTCTTCTCTGCTTCTGCCGTCTCCCTTTCAGCGTCCTCTCTGCACTTCTCCGCCTGTAACCGCGTCTCCTCCCTCTCCCTCTCTTGTTCTTCCCTCTCCCTCTCTCTTTCCTCCCTCTCCCCCTCTCTTTCTTCCCTCTCCCTCTCCCTCTCAACCAGCCGCCTCTCTGCTACGTCCCTTTCCCTCTCTGCTACATCCCTCTCCCTTGCAGCAACATCCCTCTCATGCTCAGCACTCACTCTCCTCCTCTCTGACTCGCTAAGAGCATTCTCCAGTTCCTGTATAACCCTCTCCGCCTCCTCTCCATACCTCTCCTCCCCCTCCCTTCCTCCTGCTGCCATCAACCCACGCAGCTGCAACAGCTGCCCCTCAGCTTCAGTTTCTCGATTCTCTCCCTCGCGCTGTTCATGGTGGCCCTCATACACTGTCAGAACCTCCTTCACCTGCTCGTCCTCCTCCCCTTCACTCATCTCCTTGTTTGTTCCCTGCCCCTGCTCCTTCTCCTCCTGCTGCCCCTGCTGCCGCTCCTGCTCCTTCTGCTTCGGCCTGTCCCGTTCGCTGCTACTCACTTCGATCGAGCTCAACCCTATAGGTTGCTTCCGACCCTCTCTAACCCTTTCAGTGCACCCGTCTGTCATTCTCTCCCCTGCAGTGTGCCCCTCACCTACTGTCCCCTTTGAGTTTCCCTTCGATACAGGAGAGTCTGCAACCAAAGCAGTTTCAAGTCTCGATTCATCATTACCTCCCTTTCCCTCCTCCTCCTCTTTCTCCTCTCCCACCTCCTCTCCCATCAGCCGTTTCACCTCCCTTCTCAGCCTCAACACTTCTCCTTGCACCTCCTTCATCCTCCCAATCACCTCGTCCCTTTCCCTCTCCGCCCTCTCCCTCCCCCTATCCGCCTCCTCCCTCACTCTCTGCACATCCCTTACCCTCCCTTCAACCTTCCTACACCTTTCTTCTAGGCCCCTTCTCTCCTCCTCCCCTTTAAGCAACTCAGCTTGAAGTTGCCTCCCCCACACTCTCAAGTCATGTGCCACGTTCTCTGCTTCCTCCATTCGCTTCCTTGCCTCCCTCACTCTCTCCCCTTCCTCCCCTTCACTTAACCTACCCCCCCCTGCCCGTTGGTGCGCTTCCACGGTCAGCATTAAAGATTCTATTTTCCCCTCCAGTCCAATCTTCTTTGCCCGTTCCTCTTCCCGGGCAGCCAGAGCCGCCGCCGTTTCTGCCCGCAATACTTCCACCTCACGTTTCATCGCCTCAGCTTCCACCCTAGCCATTTCCGCAGCTGCCCGAACCAGCTCCGACTCCGCCTTAAACTTCTCCGCAGCTGCCCGAGCTTTCTCAGCCTCAGCCTGCGCAGTTTCCGCTTCTGCCCGAATCTTATCCGAATCTTCCCACACTCGCTTAGCCTCAATCCTCATCCGTTCAGCATCCAGAACCTTCTTAGCAGCTTCTTCCACCTTCAGTAATGCCATATCCCTCTCCCTTAAAGCCCCTTCCATTACCCTCTCAGCTTCAACCTTCTCTCTCACTGCAACCTCTCTCAACCTCTCCGCTTCCTTCCTCCCTCTCTCTGCTCCCTCTGCTGCTCCTACCGCCTCTTCTATCGCACTCTCAGCAACCTCTCTCCTCCTCTTCGCCTCCTCACACTCCTCCTCTGCAATCCTCCTCCTCGATTCCTCCTCCACCCTCCTCCTTTCGGCCTCATCCCTTTCCCTCGCCATCTCCTCCCTCTCATATACCGCCTGGTCTCTCAACTCAAGGGCTGCTTTTTCCCCGTTATGAGCCTCCTCCATTGCCTTTACAGCTTCGTCTCTCTTCGCCTCAGCTTCCCTCACTGCTTTACTTGCTGCTACCAACCTCCCTTCCATTTCTCCCCTTTCTCTCTCCACCTCCTCCCTCACTCTCTCCCCCTCTTTCTCCACATCCCTCGCCCTCCTCACAGCCTCCTCCCTCTCCTCCTCACCCTCACCCTTCCTCCTCTCTGCCTCCTCCCTCCCCTTCTCCGCCTCCTCCCTCCTCCTCCTCTCCTCCTCCAACTCCCTTTCAACCTCCTCCCTCCTCCTCCCCTCCATCTCTCTCCCCTTCTCACTCTCCCTCCACAACCCTTCCACTTCCCCCAACCTCCCTTCAGCTTCCTCTCTCCTTCTCTCTGCTTCATCCCGTTCCAGTAAAGCCCTAACCATTCTCTCTTCTGCTTCCTTCCGTTTCCTCTCTGCTCCCTGCTTCCCTCTCTCTGCCTCTTCTCTCGCCCTCAAGGCTTCTCTCAGTCCTCTCTCCGCCTCCTCTCGCCTTCTCCCTAGCTCCAACCACCCACCCCGGATTAGCCCTCGAGCCTCCTCCCCTCTCACCCCCCCTTCCTCTGCTGCTCCTGTACCCCTTACAAGCTGCCTCGGAGTCCCCTTAGGAGAAGGCTCACTTTCCTCAGCGGTGTGTACATTCAATCGCTGGGCCCGCCCTTCTGTACTCGCTATAGCAGGAGGCAGTTTCTTAAAGAGAGGCTTGGAAATGAAGGAGGATGGGCTGGGAGGTTCAGATCCAAAGGATGACCCAAACGAGGAGCTTGACAATTGGCCCATCAGTAACTTATCCTCGTTATGAACTGCTCCAGTTAGTGATGACGCCACTCGTTCTAGCTGCTCCGTTTGCTGCTTTCCCTTATTCGCACCTTCTTCTACCCGACTCTGCGCCCCATCCTCCTTACAATCTATCTCAATAAATAATGCTGATTCGCTACAAGCTCTTGACTCGTTGCAAGCTCTTGTCCCGTCCTCATGCTCTTCCCCTTGCCCCCCTTTAACTGCCCCCTTATCTTCCGCCCTCACTTCCTTGGTACTTGACAAGTTCCCTTTCCCCGCCTCCCCACCTCCTTCCCCACACTCTCCCACCTCCCCTCCTTCCTTTGCCCCTCTCGATGCCAAACTCCCCTCTCCAGTATCCCATTTTCTTGCCTTTTCCTTCTCTTCAGTAAGCTCTGCTTGCTGCTGCTCCTCTTGCCGTTTCTCTTTCAGCTCTCCTTTCTGCGTCACTTCCTGCTGTTGCTCCCGTTGTTGCCCCCCCTGCTGCTCTCCTTTTTCAGGACTATCGTGCTTCGCTGCTGCTATTTCATCTGTACACTCCATCCTTAAATTCACCCCGTCAGCAGGCTCATCCCCGTTAATAGACTCAACCCCGTTAGTATTCTCACCCCCGTTAGCTGCCCCGTTAGTAGACTCAACCCCGTTAGCGAACTCAGTCCCGTTAGTAGACTCAACTCCGTTAGTGAACTCAGCCCCGTTAGAAGACTCGCCATTAACAGATTGTACAGCATTAGCAGACTCGACGCCTGTCCGAAACTCCTCATCCCCCTTAAGAGATGACCCTTTGTACTCCTCATAGTTGTCCTTCTCATCCTGAGAAACGCCTGTAATCGTCTGAGTATTCAATACTTCCTTGCAATCTCCCTTCGATTCTGCTTTCATTTCTTCCTTCACCGATTCTTCTTTTGAAGCTCCATTCGCTTCTTCCATACAGGCCTCTGCCTTCGGCGACTCCCGAGATATTTCTTTAAGAGCCTTGCCTTTCTCTGGCTCCTCGAGGGAAGATCTCAGCCGTCCATTCTCCTCCTCCTCCTCTACTCGCTGCGTCACCTCCGCCTCCTCCTTCCGCCGCTCCTCCTCCCCATCTTTCCGCCTCTCCTCCCCCTCCCCAGCCAAAGCGCCGTCCGACTCCGCCTTACCCCGCGCACGCCAGCCAGACCCGCCGCCAATCCCCCTTCCGCCCATGGACGCGCTATGAGCGCCTGTTCCGTTATTAGCACCTGTCCCGCTATGAGCGGCCGTCCAGCTATGCGCGGCTGTCCCGCTACGAGCGCCTGCCATGCTAAAGGAGGCGCCTTTCCCGCTAGAAGCGCCTTTCCCGCTAGGAGCGCCTGTTGCGGCGGAACCTCGGGACGAGGACAGCGCTCCGCTCCTGAGGCGACTCAGATAAAGAGCCTTCCCCGTCAAACCCGCCGATTCTTCCGCGTTTCCCGTCGTCGCCTGCGCGTTTCCCCCCTTCGAGCCTGGTGACAACTTTCCCGCGTCGCCAGCAGACGGTCGCTTCGTAATCTCCTTAGAGAGTTTTTCGACTTTATTCTGAAGGTCCATGTTTTTGAACTTATACTTTCCTAACTCCACTTCTAAAGCCGTTATTTTTTCTTCCAGCTCTTTTCCCGCGCCGCCACTTCCCCGGGGCCCCGGAGAACCCAGCGCGGAAGCTTCCGCGCGCGCTTTCCATTTTTCCGCCTCCGCGCGCAGGTTTTCCGCCTCCGCGCGGGAAATGCTCTGCTTCTTCCACGCATCGAGCTCCGCCGTGACTGCCGCTGCGAGGTCTTTCGCGGCTCGTAGCTCGGTCTGTAGGCGGTCGACCTTGCAACGAAGGTCAGAGTTTTTTATTCGAAGCTGCCCGAGTTCCACTTCCAAAGCCACATCGTCCTTCGCCATTGCCCGCCAGCTCTAACTACTTCGGCGAAACGACCTACTTGTATAAACTTCTAAGTTCCACGAGCATTCTAGCTTTCCCGAGAATCCTAGGTTTCTTCAGGCATTCTAGGTTTCTCCGAAGGATTCTAGGCATCCTTATCCTTTCTAGGTTTCTCCGAGCCTAGGTTTTGCTCACCATTCAATACTGGTGCTCCTTTCCTTCCTCCCACCCCTCCAAAAGCGCGTTGCATTGGGATTTTCGTACTTGGGATCGTCTCTTCTTGGGATTCGCGCTTTGTTTGGCATGGAGGGGCATTCACGAAAAGTGATTGTCAGTGCCTAGCAATCTTGACACGTACCTCCCAAGGTCGTCCCAATCTCAGGTACGTTCGGCGTCCTCGGGAATTCCGAACTCAAACTCCCACATACAGAAGGAGTTCCTCCAGAAGTGTTTTCCTTTGTCTGCTTGTTTCAAGAAATGTGCTGTGTTGAGAAACTCGGCTGAGGAATTTGATTCATAAGGAAGTGTACCGAATACGCCTCAGGTTCTCGGTTGGACTTTGGATGCTTTCATGTTTCGCGGACGTGATCGGGCGTTACAGTTTGGTGCTTTGTTTTTTCATACGTTCTAGCGTGGTTCCAGAGGCAAAAGGCTAACTGATTCTGTCAACCCTCAGTGCTATAAGTTACAATAATGTGTGTGGTGTGAAATACATAATTAAGAAAACTCCTGAATCGATATATGAAGGTACATGAAGGCTAAATAAATTCTTGATATTACCCTAAACCGACGGCAAGCAAGTAGCACCAAGGTCAAGAAATATTATAGAACTCAAAACTATTTCTCTTAAATAGTCCTACAAAGATATCGAAGCCCATTCTACTGAAAATATGGGTGTAATGCCGTGAACTGTACAGTAAGGACGTGTCTTAGTTCGCTTTTGATTGCGCGATCAATAACTTCCAGGAAAGTAAGAAAGCGATTTCAGGCAATCGGGGGCAATCACCTGATCGCGATCAGCTGATCGCCCCAACACGATCAACCGCCTAAAACAGCCCAATCAAACAGAATCCAACACAATCACCGACGATCACTTGATTGCATTTGTTTGGGGTACTAAGCGAATCTGACGAAATCTTACATTGTTCGACATTGACTCGTGAATTCGTCGTGAATACCCCGCCGTCGCGAATCTGGAACTGCAGCATTTCTGGGCACCTGATTTCGCAAAATAGGGAAACAATAAACTCGCTATATCCATGCCGAGGAGTTCGCAGTCGCCAAAGTGTGCCCGAAAGTAGGTTCGGACGTTTGCCACGTACCCTCGTAAAATTTTCGAGGAAAGTCTTAGCTGATCGGGCGGTGCGAGCTATTCAAACAAAGGCAACCCGATCAGATCAGCCTCGACCAGATCACAGCCGACCAGAGGCGAACCGAGACACGTCCTAATGCCCAGCAGCCATAGGCCAAGTGGCACGCTTGTTCGCACAGACTACACCTACCAACAGACCGAAGTGGCAGGAGAACCCTTCCGACAACTTGCTGCTCTCTCCTCCCTCCCGAAACTTCTCAAACTGACTGTACACCGGAATGCTGCACTTCATACAGCGACCGCATGAACTGTTGCTGGTCATACGCGCGTGTGCTTTGTTGGATATGAGTTGGGGGTGGATTGGGTTGGGGGGGTGACCTGACCTGACCTGACCGACTATGTGTGGGCATGTCGTTACGGCCGCACTCTTTCAACCCGAGCTTTTCCTGAGCTGATGCCTGTCGGTGTTTAGTTCACATCTTGTTGTCGGGGGAGGTGGCTTTGTGTTTGTGTAAGTAACTGCTCTGCATCCGAGAATACCTTGATTGTTTGGGTGCTCACAGTTTACATTTACTTTGCGTCATCGGTGCTGATACATTTTGCAAATTCACGCCTGCACAAAAATGCACTGCAACGGGGAAATGTGCCATTTCTTTTCCAAGCTCCTGACCGTGTCACACAGGTCAGGATGGGAGACCCGCACGTATACCAGACTTTTTCAGGTGCAATAACAGCTCTGGACGCAAGTTATCGGTTAGCCCACCACCCGTTTCACCAGCCGACGGATGGAAATGTACAGTTCTCGACAACGCCACCAACTAACGAGTAGCCACGTCGTTTTGTGGTGAGGGGAAACGCCAGCTGTTTGCTTCAAACAGAAAATTTGTCGGTGTGGAGGAGGCTGTTCTCCACATCATCGACTGGACTGTGTTGGAGGGGGGAAGGGAAGGGGATGCGGTGGTGGTGCTCAGTGGTGATGGGTGAAGGGGAATGTTGGTGGGTGATGGTAGGTGGTGGTGGTGTGGCGGGGGACTTCAGAGTAGGAGGTTTGAAGAGAAATTCAGGTGAGGTGACTGTTTAGTCCAAACTTCTGAATTTTAAAACAAGCCCAGCGCTAGGACGTATGAGCAGGATATATTAGGGTTTGAGGAAGGAGTAAGCGTGTATATTTTTTATTCCGACAATAATAGTGTCTGCTCTGCTACCAAATCCGATAGGGAATCACAACGCGACGGATGCTCGGTTGTTCACTAGTTAGCTTTTCATATTTCACGAACGCGAAGACTGCACTGCGAACTGCATACAAGAACAGGACACCTAGATACCAGGTTCCACACACGGGATGAGGACGCACTTAGGAGCAGGTCGGAAGTCCGTCGTCAGCATCGTCCTCCTGGTTATTTGTTTAGCTTGCGAAGCCACGGCTGCGAAGCCACCCAAGATCGCGCCGGGAAGAAGAGAGCTGAATGGCGCGAACAAGGCCATTCAGAAAGCTCGGAGATTCAACGTTTTTCTTATACATATGAAGAAAACAAGTAAGCATTCCTTGCTTGTTTCCCTACTTACGTCCATCCATCTTCCCTCTCCCGCTCCCCCTCCCCCCCCCCCCCCCCCCCCCCCCCCTCCTTCCCTCCTCTGTTTCTCCATCATGTTTTTCCGTCGCCATTTGCCCCCTCTCCCTTCCACTCGCTCTCCTTTCATCATCTCTCCCCCCCCCACACTCTCCTTCCCCCCAACACCCCACCACCACCACCCATGCTTCCCCTTCTCTCACCCCCGCTCTCCCTCCTCCCAGATTTGGATACGTTCATTGGCAGATACGCGGACCGGCAGCCACTAACCTTTCTGATGCCTCGGGACGAAGCGTTCTCTGCACTTCCAGCCAACATCCGCCAGCAGTTATCGGGAAAGAAGCTGGTGCAGGTGATACAGTACCATATGATCATGGAAAAGTGGGGGATCACGTTCCTTTCAGCTCCAAGAAATCAAAGGTTTTTGCGCGCCTTTCGCACCGTACTTGGAACGTACATTTTTGTACTTCCAAATGACGTGAACAGGGTCGTGAGGATAAGTTCCGTCAGGTATGCCACTGCGAATACAGCAAGTGTCATTTCTGGTGATATTGGTGGAATGAATACCTTCCTTAGGTTTGCGTGCCATGGGGTTGACAAAGTTATTATCCCTCCTGGGGTTTTCTAGTCGAGGGATGGATAGATTCGCCAGTTTTGCGTGGTAAATAGTAGTAATATTATTTTATGTTGCACAACCTGTTGACTGTAACATACAGTACTACCGGTAGTTAGAATTTGTACAACTCAATGGCAGTCATTGCTAATGGTCTGGATTGTTGCAGTTTTTTTGTCTCCGTGGTCGCACTCAGTTCATTACTATGTATCTGGCAAACGCTGGTCATCTCTAGGCTCAATAACTTGGTTGAACTCTTCTCTCCTTGCCAGTGGTATCCCAACAGGGATTTCCTCACTTTTCACTTGGGAATAAGAGTGCATGCTGCCGCAGTTGGCACAAGTTATCTTGCATTTTATGCGACAACGCACAAAATACATGTATATGTTGTAGTTCCTACACAGGATCATAGCTGTCTTGTCGCGAACCTCCGCATCCCCTTCGAACCAAAATTTAATCGCGTTGACTTGCGTTGAGCAATTCAAGGTCTCCTTCCCACGGATAAACTGTACCACCACCAGACCAGGGGACAAGGAGCCAGTCACCCCAATTTTCATCGAGGGGGAAACGCCAGCCGTGCGCGTCCAACAGAATTTATTGGTTTGCAGGGGATGACTTCGCACAAATCTACTGCCATGTTGGGAGGGAAAAAACTGAATGGGGGGTCGCGGTGGTGGTGGTGGTGGTGGTTGGTGATGGGCGTTTGTGGTGGGTGATGAAGGGTGGTGACGGGTGATAGAGGGTGATGGTGTGTTGTGGGCTTGGGAATAACCAAGCAGGCGAGGTGGGGTCATGGGAATGGCGGATACAAAACAAGCCGACGAAACAGCCTCACCTTTCCTGCTGTTCCGAGGTGAGGTCATGGGAAGGGATCGCCAATCCAGCCCACAGTGGATGGAACTAGCCTGAATAGGAGGGTGTGAGAAAATATGCTTGTGTACGTATCGCGAATCGCTTGCTCAGTATACCGAGTTAAGGAGAGTGCAACGCTTGCGATGCTTCGCACTGCTCCGCTTTTCATTCCTCACAAACGCGTGCGTTGCGAACTGCGAACAGGAACAGGACACCCCTAGGTTTCTCGCCTAGAGTTTCGGACACGGAATGAGGTCGACCTCACGAGCAGTTCCAAAGGGCGTCGTCAGCACCGTCCTTCTCGTTGTTTGTCTAGCTTGCGATGTTACGGCTGCG